ATGTAAGTTAATGGTTATGAAAGACATTTATAATCCAACAATGATTAATTTTACTTCCTTTACAAATAGATCAGTTTTAGACATAAATTATGTAGGTATATAATGGTATATACACTCACATAATTTATAAAGCTGTGAAGAATATGGCTCTTATACTTCTCTTGGGAAAAGTCCAGTACCTGGGGACGTATTTAAATGTTTATTTCTCAATGAGGTGACATCACTGAGGGACAGCCCAACTGATGTAAGGCAACAGGTTTCCCTAATGTAATATATTTGTAATCACTTGAAGCGTGAAGCAGTGAAGTAGGAGCTAGAAGCCATGAGTTCTAACACTGATTACTCCACTCGCTAGCTCTCTAGAATCCTCTCTCAGATTCAGTTTTCTGGTGTGCAGAATGCCATATTTGCTTTGCTTACCCAAAGATTGCAAGTTCCAATGATTTAACTCAAGGGAAAATGTTTTGAGGGAGTGATGGTAAATACTGTCATCATTGCCTGGGTAGCATTCTTTCGGCAAAGGTTAAAAAGTGCCTTTACAAACAAGGCTCTTGATAACAAAGCTACAAACTTTTGAATCAGTGCTTGGGTATTTCTGGTAGAATGGATTTTCCGCAAAGAATACATTTAAACAGTAAATGCTTTTGCTGGTATTTGTTCCAGTCCCAAGAATTCTCTGCAGTCCCTGATTTTTCATCATGGCACTAGCAAGAGGGGCCATGGGAGAGCTGGGTTCATAGCTCCATGTTCTCCTTAGTTCTAGTGTACAACTGACGCATGAACTCCAGTTAATCCTGGTAGAATTTTACTGCCTTATATTTTTGATAAAGCCTGGCCTATAGAACTATCTCTGGTAAGAATGAGTTTTAGGATTCTTAGGCAGGCTTCAGTTTCCTCAGATGTAAAATGAGGGATTTTACGTAGATGATCTCTAAGGTATATCTCTAATATTCTGTACTTCTATGATATTTTCCGTGCCTTTCCTGGGAAATCTAGCCTTCATTCTGATTATTTAAGAAAACTATACGACATAATATCTGGTAGCTTTGACAGAATGTGTGATAATTTCCTCTTTCTTCTAAGTGATTTAAAGCCTCTCATCTCACTGGCAAATTGTCCTATAAATAAGAATGTGATTTTGAGCCAATGAATTTTTACAGTCAAATCCCACGACAAAAAAGAAACAAACCCCCCCCCCCCAAAAAAAAACAGTATGATTTACTGTGGAGTTTACAGGGCATTTTAATTTATGATATGCAGCAGACAGTGGACACTTTCATTCAGGTGGGACGGGTCTATCTAGCACTGTCCTTAAAATTCTGGTCTTGCCGTAGTTTTACATGTCCTTAAAAATGGAATTGTCACAATCACCTCAGTTCAGCTCTCAAGAGAAATTAATTGATAGCATAGACTCCTGCATGGCTGGCGTGTGAGTGACACCCAGCTCTACAATTTCGCATCTAATCAAGGAAGATGGGAATTCTAGTTGGCCTATTGTCTATTTGAATCTGTTTCTGGATGGAATCCAGCTGGCTCAAATGTAGCCCTGGGACAGTGATGTGGGCAGAAGAAGGAAAAAAATTAAGCCAGAAAACTGGTGCATGAGACAGTGCTTTCCACATTGTCAAGAGAATTGCCTGGTGTAGCTGTGAATTTACTTTTGATTAGTTTCCTGAAATTTCTCAGCAACTAAAATGCAATTTTCTATCCCAATTATCCTTGATTATTCTGGCTCTGACTATATAATGAAGACCTATATATCAGATATACCATCTTGAAGCTATGCTTGATAGATGCAGAGGTTTAAAACTTAACTTCTACCTTATTGTTTCTAATAGCAAAGAGAGGGAGCAATATTAAAAATCTATGAAGAATAGCAAGAAATGCAAAATTGGACCTAATTAAGAGCTAAAATTATACAGCAACATTTTAAGTGGTAAGAGATCACCTATGAGAAGGAAATTATTAACAGTTGGTGTAGCTAGGAAAAGAAAGTTCCGTGGAAGTAAGGGGGTAATTTTTCTTCAAGGACGGGTGAGATGTGGACATTCACAACCATAATGGGAGGGCAGTCCAAGCCCAGAAAACAGTATGAGCAAATCCTTAGTAGCAGAAGTAAGCGATGTAAATTTAGGAGATGCTGGACCAGCTTAGGAAGAGCAGAAAGCACATTGGGGAAAGGGGATGGTTGTAGTGGAAAAGATGATGTGGGTCCTTAAAGGCTGGTGTTTCATTTAGGCTGGATGCTGTAGGAAACTGGAAGATGGCTGTTTTAGAGTAATGGAAGGGCAGGATGAAAACAGTGCTAAAGGAAGATGAGTTTAACAGTGATATGTAAGATGAATGGGAAGAAGAAAGATAAAGTGTAAGCTCCGTTTAGAAGCAAGAGGTGATGCAGAACTGGATTAAAGTCCTTCCCTGTTCTCCCACCATCGTTTTTAGTTTTAAGGAGAATGTTTTATTTATTTAGACTGGTCTTAAGGGAAGAGCAGAGTTTTCCAGTTAAGGAGAATAATGTAATCTAGATGGAGAGAATGGCAGAATAAAGGTTAAAAGGTAGTGGGTGGCATGCTCCTGAAAGGTTAATTTGCTCAATATCTCACTATTAATGGTAGCCAAGTTCTAGAATCCAGGTTTCCAATATTTTTCCACTTTACCACCCTGCTTCTTTTTCCCAGCTATAACACTACTGCCACTATTTAGCAAATTTTATTTCATTGCTAGTCACATTTTAATTTACTACTTGCCCAGCATGAAATGTGATTTACCTGAAGCCAATGAGGCAGTCCAGTGGGGTTTTCTAAGCTTCCAAAGGGGTTAGAACAGTGGCAGAAGCAATTGGAAAAATATCTCCAATTCCACTTCTGAGATAACTGTAGTGGTTGACCGGAATGGTGGCTCAGTGGGTCTCTGATTTTAGAGCAAAACAACTGAGAATAACAATCGCTATGCATGAAGTGTTTCATAAAGCTTATTTCCTCTCTGTTTTCTGTCCTTATTTTTGTGTCAAAAAACATGGCTCTAGGACAGAACATGTTTTGACTGGTATTTTTTTCCCCCTTCCTCTCCATTTATTCATTTTTCTTTTCTTACAAGGACCACGCTTCTCCCATTGAAGAAGTCTTTGTACCCCTGAGACAGGTCGACAAGCTAACATGTAGGAGTAGAATCCTGAATTGAAATCTGAATTTAGACAGTCTGAGATGAAGGAGGTTAGGAATATCAGTCCACATGCCATACCTTCATCTCCAAATACGCACTTGAGCCCATTGACCTACGTGGACACCGGCTGAAGAGACCTAGTGTTAAACTTGACAGCTAAATCCAGCTTTTGTGTTCGCTGCATATGATGTTTATTGCTCTAATGATGGCGCTTGTGTATTCTATCTTTATCCCTTGGTTCTTTGCACTGGATGTCTCAAGAATGACCAATTCAGTCATTAGCCATTAATAGTTTCTGAGTGTATACTGACTCATGCCAATTCAACCCCCATGCAACCCTAAATGAGAACGAAATTTACAAGTGCTAATACTTAGGCTGGCATTTCTCCCATAGGAACCAGGGAACATGGTTCAGAAAACTCAGTTGAGTAAAATAAAGTGGGCCAAAGTCTTCATTAGATACTTGAACAGAACCCAAGTCTCTTTTGAGGAACCAAAATGCTGTCAGGTCTCCACAGGTCAATTTTATTTCCACAAATTTCTAGCAACAGGACTACATTTTAAATTCCAAATCTGGCGGACCCAAGCTGTGTATTCTTTAATCGTGCTGCTCCCAACATCTAGTGCAAGAGTGTGAAATGGCAAATATAATCGTCTACCTCTAATAAAATTATACCTAATCCTGAAAACTATTCATTGATTTAATATCAAGAATGGCTCTCCTGTTTTGGAGAGAAGCTTAAAACGAACTGTGGCTGAAACAAAATAAAAGGGTGGTACAAGAGGAGATAGAAAGCAAAGCAGGGGGTGGGGTGGGAAAACCTTAAAATTAAAAATGATTTGTCTTTGTAGTTAGTGAAAGGGAGTGTCAATATCACTTGTAAAATGTCATTCATACATTCTGCAAAAGGATGTCAACCAAGGTAGAAGCTGAAAGTTCTGAGCAGAAGCAACTTAAATATTTCATCTCTTCTTGCCTCTAGACTCTTTAAATTAAATGTCCCTCTTCAGCAACATTTTCTTAGTTGAAAGAAGAGAATTATAGGTATTTTGCAGAAGTAGTTTGTTGTTCTTGACTTGAAAAGTCCCTTACTACCCTAAAGTTTAAAAACACTAGAATAGTTATTGGGTCAGCTATTTTCTTAATCTGAGAAGAGATTCTTTTTATCTAAGGAGGAATATGTCATAAAAAACATCAGTTGTGTATGTCTTATGTCCATTGATGATCAGAAAGTTAGATTTTATCTGTTTAAAATTATATTACTGAACATTTATATGCACATATATGTACCTGTTTGCATTATAAAGTTATCCCAACCATAGCTTGGGATATTTATGGTGTTGCAAAATGAAATTCCACTTCCAGCATCCCCATTTTCCTTAGGTGGTGTCACCATTCCCTGGCTACCTGGGCTTGAAGCCTCAGTGTCTTCTCTGTCACTTGTCTTTCCTTTGTCCTCTATTTGACCAATTACCAAGTTGTTGATATGGTCATTTAGTTCTTCACAATGTTTCTTACACCCATCCTTTCCTCATTCCCAATGTCTCTGATGAGAACAGGCAACCCTTTTTTCTCTTTTTTTGGGCTCCTGGTACTCTCCCAGTTGTGTGTTCTCTCTCTCTGTCTGTCTCTCTCCCCATTCCTGAAAAATCTACTGCTTAAACTTCCTAAGGCATCTATTTCAACTATGAAATCCAACCTCTCTACCTGATGTCCTGATGTGTCACCACACTCTAGAGTCTGGCCTAATTTAGCTGACATGACATGCTTAAAATAGAAAAGAGTACAGAGGAGAGGCGACCAAGGACCATACTCTTTTTTTTTTTTTTTTTTGCAGTACGCGGGTCTCTCACTGTTGTGGCCTCTCCCGTTGTGGAGCACAGGCTCCGGACGCGCAGGCTCAGCGGCCATGGCTCACGGGCCCAGCCGCTCCGCGGCATGTGGGATCTTCCCGGACCGGGGCACGAACCCATGTCCCCTGCATCGGCAGGCGGACTCTCAACCACTGCGCCACTAGGGAAACCCATCTTTCTCCTTCTCCTTTCTCATCTTCTCTCTCTTCCTCCATAACCCCTCTTCCCTCCCTCTTCCCCTTCCTTTCCACCCTCTCCTCTGCCGAGTGCCTCTCTTCACTGTATTCACAAATCCTCTGACTCAAAAATACTATGTCTTGGCTTGAAAATGACATACACAGTTTAACTCCAGGCCTTAACTCAAGTGGTTCCTTCTGCCATCTTGGAAAAAGAATACAGCTGTTTGAATCCTGACTAAGTTCTAGGCGCTTAACTTTATTATCTCATTGAACCTTGGAAACCACACTTTGTGATCACCGTATCCCCATTTTATAGAGAAGGAAACTGAGTAAAAGAGGGTAAATGAATTGTCTCCATGGAGTTTGTCAAGAATGGAGATGAATCACAGCTCTGATTCATCTGCTTCACGATATGGAGAAAAGTCTTCCCCGGCTCCGGTTCCAGCTCCTCCAGTAGGGGCTCTGTGGACATCCCTTTTAATTAGTATTAATAATTAATACTTAACCACAAAATTTTTTCCATTGCTACTAGAAATTTTTTTTTGTAGGGGGCGCATTTTCCGCTCACAGCTAAACTAGAGATTCCTGCAGGGCAAGGATGGTGTCCTATATTATTTTGTACTCCTCTCAGCACTAGGATAGAGAAACATACACAGGAAGTTCTTGAGTACACACGGACTAAATGAATTAGCACATCGACACAGCTTTCTTAAGCCTCTTCCTTTTGACTCCATTTAGAAGGCGCCTATGGCTCTTCCTTAGACATCAGATCAAATGCCAAAAAGTAATTTAAACTGTTCGATATTGAGCCTATCCCTCAAATCTCTTTTACTAAATTTAGATGTCATATATGAAAAGAATGGGATGACACACGTGAATCCTCTAGGTGTCTCAAATAAAAAAATATTACATACCCCATGCTTTTATTCATTTGCTATATCCAGAACATTTTCTTTTTTCTTGCCAGCGTGAAGCTCTCAAGAGGAAAAAAAAGGAACATGTGATTTGTAGGGGCCTCTTTTTGCGGGGGATGCACTTCTTATACATGAAAGTTAAAAGCTGAAGTTTCTAGAATTTCTGGATGCAACGCCAAGCACATCTGTGTACTAGGACGTTCTACTCAGGGGAAGATTGATTATTGGCAGGTGAAGGTTAAGGGGGAGGCTTTAAACTGGCAGGAAGTCTATTCAGAGGACGTGTTATAGAAAGGTGATTTTGATGCTAAGCCATATTAGTGATAGGAGTTTGAGGCTAATATCCACAGGTGCACGCTTCTAAATTAACTTATCAATAAATGCACACTCTATGCATTTCATCTGTTCCCCCCATGACCCTGGTATAGCTAATATCTCAAAATAGGCTAACCTTCAGTTTTATTTTAATACAGCAGGTGTTGCCCGTGAGTTATAACACCATGCCACAAAACTGGACAATAAACAGAACCCCCTGTAATTCAGACTTCCATTTTGTTTATTAAGAATGTGCTCGGGCTTTCCTGGTGGCGCAGTGGTTGAGAGTCTGCCTGCCGATGCAGGGGACGTGGGTTCGTGCCCCGGTCCGGGAAGATCCCACATGCCGCGGAGCGGCTGGGTCCGTGAGCCATGGCCGCTGGGCCTGCGCGTCCGGAGCCTGTGCTCCGCAATGGGAGAGGCCACAACAGTGAGAGGCCCGCGTACCGCAAAAAAAAAAAAAAAAAAAGTCTTATTGCTCAGAAAGATGGGAAAATGCTTAGATTGGTGTATTTGGGGCCTCCATCCAGGGAATGAATACAGGAGGATTTTCCCGAGTTCTTGAAATAAACTTGTTTCAGGCCCATTATGTATTCCATGAAGTGGAAAAGCTGCATATATTAGTAGCTTTATTTGCAGATGGGGGAAAAAAACATAGAACAAAGTAATAAAAAAACGAGTTCAGGGTTTCAGTTAATTGTAGCAACAGACCTTCTTTCTAGCAACCGCAGTTTGTGGCTGAGCTGAAGATTTGGACAAAGCCAACAACAGAATAGAGATGAAAACTGAGGAGAATTAAAAAAAAAATAAAGCAGAGGAGAATAAAACAAAAGCAAAAATATGTGAAGGTAGATGAACATCTACTTCAGAGTCAATTGTTTTGAAACAGAAAATTCAATTATTGTAGTTTTTTTTTTTTTTTCTGGTACATGGGCCTCTCACTGTTGTGGCCTCTCCCGTTGTGGAGCACAGGCTCCGGACGCACAGGCTCAGCGGCCATGGCTCACGGGCCCAGCCGCTCCGCGGCATGTGGGATCTTCCCAGACCGGGGTACGAACCTGTGTCCCCTGCATCGGCAGGTGGACTCTCAACCACTGCGCCACCAGGGAAGCCCCAATTAATGTAGTTTTATAACATGATTGGATATGGGATAAAACAAGTCCCCTTCTTACTATGGTTCTTCTCTTACACAAGTGTCCTGTCTTACTCATGAGTTTATCATCCACGTAAACTTTCGAATCTTCATTTTACGTTCAGCCAGAGCCATCTGGGCTCTTGCCTGTTCCCAAACACTGCTCCCACTGTCAGCCATCGAACTCTCTTGTGTGAGAATTGGTTTATTATTTTCTGAAATGTGTAGATTAATTTGGGGAGACTCTACCTTTTCACCAAGAAACACGTGTCTTCTCATTTATTCAGCACAGCCATTCAATATCAACCTCACCTGCTACAGTTAATGAACAGTGGCATGGCCAGGTTTCTTAGAGTCACAATTTCAAATATGCAGGAATAGTTTCTTACAGATTTCTAGCTGTGTAGTGAAAAAGGAGATCAGCATATAAGAAAAGGTTTTACCTTTGAAGGTCAAGAGGAGAGCTACATTTTTTTTTTTGATTAACAAAGGTTTAACACACTATGGTGCAGTTGAACGTGTATCCCATATTTTGAGCAGCTAGTTTATCTGCTACAGCTAAAGATGAGGTCAAGCCACGTAACTGTTAATGCTTCGCTTTGGAAGTTCTATAGTCATGTTCGCTAGGAAGAGAGAGGCATCTCCAGATATATTGCCTTGCCCTTCGTTTAGAGGAGTTCCAGTCACTTTCCTCTCCCTGGTCTGGGGCAGGTGCAGACCAGATGATCAGGATTGGAAAGAATATGCTTTGATCTGTCCCAAGATCCTGAAAACTGAAGCTGAATGACCAGTGTCCAAGGATGTATTTGCTAGGTAGCATTTAGTGCTTTGTGAGATCATTTCTCGGTCAGCTGCCCTTCTGGGGAGAGGGTACAGAGAGACAGCTCAGTGTTTGATGGTGGGTGCAGAGTCTGGGAACAGGCCAGAGCTCACGCTGATTGCTTTCAGCTTTTTGTTCACTTTGGTTTAAGGGTGAAGGACAGCAAAGGTCCAAGCCCCTTGTTTTGTCTAAATGGTATCTTGCTGTACCAAATACTTTTGGAAGTTTGACCTGACTCTCTACAATGTTTCGCCAAGTTATGATTTCTTTCTGAACAGTGGGCCAGGAGGAAGGAAGAGAAGCACATGACCCTTTGGTGAATTCAACTCCCTGCTGGGGTCCACTGTTCGGGCCCTTTGTTCCCCCAGCCCTATGGGAACTGCTCTTTATTATCTTTTAAGGCAGGACCCAGGACTCCCTCCTCCCTGCAAAGGGTATTCAGCTGTCACCATTGTCCCTACGGGTCCATTAACTCAGTTGCTCCAAATCCCTAAATGCCAAAAGCAGCTCCTCTGGACCTCTCTCTACCCCTGCTCCCTTCCCCAACCCCTGCCTTTGGTGGCAGAGAAAACAGCTAAAAGAAGACACACTTTAAATAAACAGATAGAATGAATGATTGACATGACCGAGATGAACACAGTCATGCATCCTAGATCTGTATCTGCATATGCATCTACCCACCTTCTCTCTCCCCCATTTATTGCACATGTGCTGAGCTAGGTGCTTTGTGGTTTTCTCTCTCTTCATAACATCCCCAAAGAAAGTATTCCTATCTTCATTTTACAGAGGAGGGAGCTGAATGGTTAAGTCACCTGTCCAAGGCCATGCAGCTAGTCAGAGGGGGTACCTGGATTAGAACACAAGTCTGTCTGAACCCAAAAACTGTACTCTCCTGCTTTCAAAATCATGTTTGAAATTTCACACCATAGCGGGGCAGCTAATAGATGTAATTCCTACCACGGTTATAGAAAGCTGAAATAGGAGGGGAGTTTTCAGAAAATACTCAAGCTTAATTTTGGACAATCATTTCACACGTTCTGCCCAAGTGGCATTTTTCCTAAGCTGCCCCCAAATACAACCAATCAAGTTTTATCGGTTTTTTTTTTTTCCGTTTCTCTTATGAATGGAGAGGAGACTATTAGAGCCAGTATATGGCTCTAAAGTGGGGTAACTAGAGGGGAAAGTGCCTTGGATGTCTGAATGTCCCTGTGAGCTAGCCAACACCCATTTATTAGTAAGGCATAAAAGTGGACCAGGCCAGTTCCTGTCTTAGGAGTCTTCACTGTACCTGAGGAGTCAAGTGATAAAAAGGCAAAGTAGAAAGTAGGGCTAAAAAAAAACAAGGTAATTGTGCTAACTGCAACCCACAGATAACCAATAACCTCAATGGAAAGAAAACATCACTGGGAGATGTAGTCAGGGGAGGCTTCCTGGAGGAGGTGGAACTTAAGCAGAAGCTTTGAAGAATGAGTATACAGAGGTGATGAGGATATCCTACACAGAGGCTTATAAACGTAGAACTAGAAGGAATATCTCACATGATGATAAACTCTCATTTTGCAGACAAAAAGATGGAAAACTAGAGCGATTAGGGGTAAGAGAAGAGACCAGAAGTGGGGGACATTGAGCTGGCCACTTGAGCCACAGGGAAGGGTAGACTTCTGCTGCTG